CCAGGTCTTAAGGCTTTTTCGAAAGGACATGAGGGAGGGCGCCTGTCTGATGTGTGCCAGGAGAGTGTTCCATAGCCGGGGGGCCACCACCGAGAAGGCCCTCTCCCTCGTCCCCGCCAGCCGTGCCTGTGAGGCAGGCGGGATCGAGAGAAGGGCCTCCCCAGACGATCTCAAGGCCCTCGTGGGCTCATAGGCCGAGATGCGGTCAGAAAGGTATTTTGGGCCGGAACCGTTTAGGGCTTTGTAGGCCAACACCAGCACCTTAAATTGGGCCCGGTAGCAGATCGGCAGCCAGTGGAGCTGGAACAACAAGGGCGTTGTGTGCTCCCTGCGTCCCGCTCCTGTTAGTAACATGGCTGCCGCGCGCTGGACTAGCTGAAGCTTCCGGGCCGTCTTCAAGGGCAGCCCCACGTAGAGAGCGTTGCAGTAGTCAAGGCGGGATGTGACCAGAGCGTGTTCCACCGTGGTCAAGTCAGACTTCCCGAGGTACGGGCGCAGCTGGCGCACGAGCCTAAGCTGTGCAAATGCTCCCCTGGTCACCGCTGAAACCTGGGGATCCAGGCTCAACGACGAATCCAGGGTCACACCCAAGCTGCGAACCTGCGCCTTCAAGGGGAGTGCGACCCCATCCAGCACAGGCTGTAACCCTATACCCTGTTCGGCCTTGCGACTGACCAGGAGTACCTCTGTCTTGTCTGGATTTAATTTCAGTTTGTTCGCCCTCATCCAGACCGTTACAGCGGCCAGGCACCGGTTCAGGACCTCGACAGCCTCCTTAGTAGCAGGTGGAAGGAGTGACAGAGTTGGACATCATCTGCGTACAGATGACACCGCACCCCGAAACTCCGGATGATCTCACCCAGCGGCTTCATGTAGATGTTAAACAGCATGGGGGACAGTATAGAGCCCTGTGGAACCCCACAGGTCAATGGCTGTGGTGTCGAACAGGTGTCCCCCAATAACACCTTCTGGGTGCGGCCCTCCAGAAATGACCGGAGCCACTGCAGAACAGTGCCCCCAAGGCCCATTTCCGCAAGGCGCCCCAGAAGGATACCGTGGTCGACGGTATCGAAGGCCGCTGAGAGGTCCAGGAGCACCAACAGGGACACACTCCCCCTGTCTAGCTCCCGGCGCAGATCATCCACTAAGGCGACCAAGACCGTCTCAGTTCCATGTCCCGGGTCTGAAACCAGACTGTGCCGAATCCAGATAATCCGTGTCTCTCAAGAATACCTGGAGTTGTGAGGCCACCACGCTTTCCATGACTTTGCCCAAAAAGGGGAGATTGGAAACAGGCCGATAGTTGACGAATTGAGTGGGGTCCAGTGATGGTTTCTTCAACAGCGGTTTTATTACAGCTTGTTTTAAGCTCGCTGGAATGCTGCCTTCCCGAAAGGAGGCATTCACCACCACCTTCACCCACTTGGCCAATCCCCCTCTGGCCTCCTTTAGAAGCCAGGATGGGCAGAGGTCTAGGATGCACGTGGTCGGCCTCATTCCTCCAAGTATCTTGTCCACATCCTCGAGCTTCACAAATTGAAAAGAATCCATCAAAATAGGACAAGCAGGTGCTCGTGTCACATCCTCAGAGACTGCATTTAACATGGTGTCCAGACCAGAACGGATCAAAGCGACTTTGTCTGCAAAGAACCGAGCAAATGCTTCGCAGCGCGAGCCGAATTGTCAGGGCTCCCGTCTGAGGTGGTGGGGGTTAAAAGACCTCTGACAATCCGGAACAACTCCGCCGGACGGTTCCTTGCAGACGCAATAGTGGCCGCAAAGAAAGTTTTCTTTGCGGCTTTTATTGCCGCGGCATATGCCCTTAAAAGGACACAAACCGTGTTCGATTTGACTCGCTCGGATCCGAACGCCACACGCTCTCTAGTTCCCTCTTCCTTCGCTTCATCACTGCCAGCTCCTCAGTAAACCAAGGGGCTGGTTTAGCTCAGCTACTTGAGAGGGGACGTTCCGGAGTGATCATGTCAATTGCCCTGGCCATCTCCCCATTCCAGAGAGCGACCAAGGCCTCGACATGGTCACCTGCCGAGGTGGCGGGAAAATCCCCAAGAGCCGTCAGGAATCCATTCGGATCCATAAGCCTCCTGGGGTGGACCATCTTAATGGGTCCTCCACCTTTGCAGAGGTTAGGGGACGCAGTGAGCCTAAATCTGATCAGGAAGTGGTCAGTCCCCCCACACTTTACCCCCCACGCGTTGCTGTGGCCAGCCTTCTCTCCCTCTTTCTCTGCTTCTTTCACTCCTTCCTTCATTCTGTTTTCTTCTTTCCTTTCTTCCTTCTCTACCTGTTTACTTCCTTCCTTAGCTGTTTGCTTTCATCCTTCCTTCTCCTTATTTCTTTCCTTCCCTGCGTCTTTCTCTCCTTCTTTCTCTTTTTCCTTTGCTGCGTCTTTCCTCCCTTCCCTTTTTTCTTTCCTTCTCTCCTCCTTCCTTCTGTACCTCTTTCCTTCCTCCTCCCTTTTTCTTTTCCTTCCTCTTTGTCTCCTTTCTTCCCTCTCTTTCTCTTTCCTTCCTTCCTTCGCTCTGTAGTTCCATACTTCCTTTTCTTTCTTTCTTTCTTTCCTTCCCTCCCTTTCTCTTCTTCATTTGCTTTCTTTCCTCCCTTGCCTTTTCTTCCTTCCTTTCCTTCGTTCCTACACCTTCCCTTCCGCTCCTTTCTTCTTCCTTCCTTCCTTTCTCCCTTGTTTCCCATGCTCCTACTCTCTCTTTCTTCTTTCTTTCCTCCCTTTCTTCCCTCATATACTTTCCCAACTTCTCCTTCCTTCCTTTTTTCATACACCTTCCCTTCCCCTTCTCTTATTTTGTTTATTTCCTACCTTTTTTCTCTGATATACCTTCCTTCCTTCCTTCCCCTTCCTTCCTTCCTTCCTTCCTTCCTTCCTTCCTTCCTTCCTTCCTTCCTTCCTTCCTTCCCGTTGCCACTTTTCTTCTTTCTTTCCTCCTTTTCTTCGTTCCTTCCTTCATTCCTATTTACACCCCTTCCCCTCATTTCTGTCCTTCCTTCCCTCACCCGCTTCCTTCCCTCCTTCCCGTTCCTCATCGTCCCCGATGGCGGCGTCCTTCCTTCCCTGGAGCCAGACGCCGGTGTGCTGTCCTCGGGAGAGGCGGGTCGCGGCCTCTCCCGGGCGGGCCACAAAGGCCACCAGCTGTCTGGACCCGTGGAAGGTGGAGAGCTCCCCACACCGCACGTGCACCAGGCCGGCCCCCAGCATGCACAGGCGGGCAAACTCCCACTCCCAGGCCGGGGCGGGGCGGCGATGGGAGGGGGCGTGGCTTGCGCGGAGGGGGCGTGGTGCGGCCATGTGCACGCGCCGGGCGACTCGCGCTGGGACGCCTCTGCGCATGCTCCGTTTGGTTGTGTAATTGTGAGTTTGTTATGTTTTTTTGAGTTTTGATGAGTGTTCTGCATACCTTGTGGTTTGAGGTATGCGTACGCCAAGTTTGGTGATTTTTCGTCCGGGGGTTTTCGCGTTTTGCGCCCCCTAACGACGCCCTTTTGGATTTTATATATATAGATGTAATGTTTTATTATTGCTTATGTTTTTAATTTGCTTTGACTTGTATTGTTATTGTTTTGCTGTTGTTGTGTTGCAGCCTTGGCCTTTGTAAGTTCTTCAGGAGATGCTAGCGGGGTACAAATAAAGTTTAATAATAATTAATAATAAAAATAATTAAAAGGTGTCTGTTTCCTCTCCCAGCGATGGCCAATGCCAACCCACCTTCATCGCTATGGAAAGCAGAATAATGGCTTGACCACTATCACTTATCTTTGCAGGAGATCCCTTGCAGAAACCACGGCTCATGAAGACAACCACCTGCTACTTGGAGAACCTGTCCATCCACCTCTACCCTTCGCTGGAGAAGTTTGAGGAGGAGCTGCTGGAGTTACTCGTGGCTGACCAGGTACTGACTCGAGACCCCAAAAATTGAGATATTATATTAGTATTATATGTTATATATTTATGAAATTCTTATTAGGGGTTGGTTAATCTCCACTTTGGTAGTAAAACCGAATGACCGTGTTGCGAAAGGATGCAAACATTTTGAAACCTCATTTACACAGTCAAGATTACATGAAAGCATTTCCAAATATGTGTGTGAGTGTGTGTATGTCTATATATTATGTGAAACTCCTATAACTGGTAGGTGTTGTGGCTCAGCCAGTTGTGGATGATGATGAGAGCTTTGGGGGTGCAAGACAGTTGTGCCCGACTCTGCGGCGTAGTGCTCATCTCCATTTCTAAGCCAAAAAGCCGGCGTTGTCCATAGACACCTCCTAGGTCATGTGGCTGGCATGACTGCAAAGAGCGCCGTTACCTTCCCGCCGGAGCAGTACCTATTGAACTACCTACATTTGCATGTTTTCGAACTGCTAGGTTGGCAGAAGCTGGGGCTAACAGCGGGTGCTCACGCCACTTCCCAGATTTGAACCTGTGACCTTTCAGTAAACAAGTTCAGTAGCTCACTGCGCCACCGGGGACTTCTGCTGAACTCTACCTTGGACTAATTTGTTCCTGCTTATCTTCTTACCTAATTGGATTTACCTATTTCTTTAAAGTGCTTCTAACTTTGCTGGTTTTTTTTACTTATCTTCAATGAAAGGATTGTTTTTCCTATTCAACGTGTGGTCTTTAAAGTCAGAGGATTATTCCTGTCCTGGAGTGCAACAACCTTTGGGACTTACCTAATTGGATTTACCTATTTCTTTAAAGTGCTTCCTACTTTGCTGTTTTTTACTTATCTCCAATAAAAGGATTGTTTTTCCTATTCAACGTGTGGTGTTTAAAGTCAGAGGATTATTCATATCCTGGAGTGCAACAACCTTTGGGACCCATTTCGGACTAATTTGTTCCTGCTTATCTTCTTACCTAATTGGATTTACTTATTTCTTTAAAGTGCTTCTTACTTTGCTGTTTTTTAAATTTATCTTCAATAAAAGGATTGTTTTTCCTATTCAACGTGGATTATTCCTGTCCTGAAGTGCAACAACCTTTGGGATCCATTTGGGACTAATTTGCTCCTGCTTATCTTCTTACCTAATTGGATTTACCTATTTCTTTCAAGTACTTCTTACTTTGCTGTTTTTTTTTTATATATCTTCAATGATAGGATTGTTTTTCCTATTCAACCTGTGGTGTTTAAAGTCAGAGGATTATTCTTGTCCTGGAGTACAACAGCCTTTGGGACCCATTTGGGACTAATTTGTTCCTGCTTATCTTCTTACCTAATTGGATTTACCTATTTCTTTAAAGTACTTCTTACTTTGCTGTTTTTTTATTTATCTTCAATAAAAGGATTGTTTTTCCTATTCAATGTGGATTATTCCTGTCCTGGAGTGCAACAACCTTTGGGATCCATTTGGGACTAATTTGTTCCTGCTTATCTTCTTACCTAATTGGGTTTACCTATTTCTTTAAAGTGCTTCTTACTTTGCTGTTTTTTTTATTTATCTTCAATGATAGGATTGTTTTTCCTATTCAACCTGTGGTGTTTAAAGTCAGAGGATTATTCCTGTCCTGGAGTGCAACAACCTTTGGGATCCATTTGGGACTAATTTGTTCCTGCTTATCTTCTTACCCAATTGGATTTACCTATTTCTTTAAAGTGCTTCTTACTTAGCTGTTTTTTTATTTATCTTCAATAAAAAGATTGTTTTTTCCTATTCAACGTGGATTATTCCTGTCCTGGAGTGCAACAACCTTTGGACCCATTGTGCTCCTTTTGCTCTGGCTCTCCCTTTGCTTTAAAGATGGCCACCCCTTCCTTTGTAAAATACGAAAGGAACGTGGCCGCTTTCCAAGTGTCTGCAAATAGATAGCTGTCTTCGCCATCTCTCTCCAGCCGTCGACAGCGTGGATCGTTGGCAAGAGGGATGGGGCTCCCGTTATCTGTACGGCGACAATGTGTTTGCTTGTCTCTCTGCGTATGGATCGCTTCTCTCGTCCTTCGGAGTGATTTTCATTGCTTTCCGTCCTGATTGAGAGACAGATCTTCTCAGCCTTTTGGATGCCTTCTCCCCGGAATGAACGAACGAATGTTAATGAGCCCATCTCGGGAGCGAGGCGGGCTTTTGATTAATGAGCACGCAGAGCGACGCCTCGCCTTGCAGTGTCTACCTCTGTGTGTGTTTTGCGCTCCTGTAATTTAGGGAGCCGTAACGGCCCCCGAGGATGAGCTCCGTTGATTTGTCAGATGCGGCTTTATCGGAGCGGAAGATGAAATACTTTAATATCGAGCAGTCACTCTGGGGCAGCTTTCGTTTCTATTACGTTTATGACACATTGCTGGAAATTGCCGCCGCGGCCACCCCGAGAACAACGCACAAGACGACAGAGGAGAGAGATTAAAAAAAAAAAACCAGGGAAACAATATTCAGAGTACTATGTAACACTATGTTTTTTGTTCCTGGGTTTTAAATGTCATTTCCTAATTGGTTCTATCGTAAACACGTTCATTGGAAAGTACATGGCATTCATTGACCTTGCAAAGGCATTCGACACAGTGAATCGCAGTGCTCTCTCAGCCATCCTCCAAAAGAGCAAAGATCTCCTCAGAGAAAATGGATGAAATGTCAGGAGAGAATGCTTCTGGAGCATGGCCAGACAGCCTGGAAAACACACAGCAACCCAGTGTTTCCGGCTGTGAATGCCTTCGACAACACACCTCGCTTGTAGAAGTCCACATGTTGCTCCAAAACCCACGTTGTGATATCTACAGGGTCAGGTACCCATTCGAAAGGGTATGTGACCCATAGGGATTACATGTCGGCTTGGGAGATGGCTGGAAGGATCTTTACTAATGGTACAGGATTGCATATTTATACCCTGTTTTTTTTCTCCACAAGGAGGCTCAAAACAGACAACATTAAAAGCATTTCACGACAATTTAAAATCCATTAAAATACAAACATTAACACAGAATTGAACATATAATCATAGAATCAAAGAGTTGGAAGAGACCTCCTGGGCCATCATCCAGTCCAACCCCATTCTGCCAAGAAGCAGGAATATTGCATTCAAATCACCCCTGACAGATGAGCCATCCAGCCTCTGTTTAAAAGCTTCCAAAGAAGGAGCCTCCACCACACTCCAGGCAGAGAGTTCCACTGCTGAAAGGCTCTCACAGTCAGGAAGTTCTTCCTAATGTTCAGATGGAATCTCCTTTCTTGTAGTTTGAAGCCATTGTTCCGCGTCCTAGTCTCCAGGGAAGCAGAAAACAAGCTTGCTCCCTCCTCCCTGTGGCTTCCTCTCACATATTTATACATGGCTATCATAGCTCCTCTCAGCCTTCTCTTCTTCAGGCTAAACATGCCCAGCTCCTTAAGCCGCTCCTCATAGGGCTTGTTCTCCAGACCCTTGATCATTTTAGTCACCCTCCTCTGGACACATTCCAGCTTGTCAATGTCTCCCTTCAATTGTGGTGCCCAGAATTGGACACAGTATTCCAGGTGTGGTCTAACCAAGGCAGAATAGAGGGGTAGCATGACTTCCCTGGATCTAGACACTATGCTCCTATTGATGCAGGCCAAAATCCCATTGGCTTTTTTTGCCGCCACACCACATTGTTGGCTCATGTTTAACTTGTTGTCCACGAGGACTCCAAGATCTTTTTCACACGTACTGCTCTCGAGCCAGGCATTGTCCCCCATTCTGTATCTTTGCATTTCGTTTTTCCTGCCAAAGTGGAGTATCTTGCATTTGTCCCTGTTGAACTTCATTTTGTTAGTTTTGGCCATTCGTCTCTCTAATCTGTCAAGATCGTTTTGAATCCTGCTCCTGTCCTCTGGAGTGTTGGCTCTCCCTCCCAATTTGGTGTCGTCTGCAAACTTGATGATCCTGCCTTCTAGCCCTTCAATCTGAGTCATTAATGAAGATGTTGAACAGGACCGGGCCCAGGACGGGAAAACCCTGCTGATGGCACTCCACTTGTCACTTCTTTCCAAGATGAAGAGGAAGCCTTGGGGAGAAGCACCCTCTGGGTTCGTCCACTTAACCAGTTACAGATCCACCTCACCGTAGTTTTGCCTAGCCCACATTGGACTGCCAGAAGGTCATGGGGGATCTTGTCAAAGAAGGCCTTACTGAAATCCAGACACGCTCCATCCACGGCATTCCCCGCATCTACCCAGCTTGTAACTCTATCGGAAAAAGAGATCAGATGAGTCTGGCATGACTTGTTTTTGATAAATCCATGTTGACTCTTAGTGATGAACTTCATTTTGTTAGTTTTGGCCCATCTCTCTAACCTGTCAAGATCGTTTTGAATCCTGCTCCTGTCCTCTGGAGTCTTGGCTCACCCTCCTTAAGCTCTCCAGAAGCCCTCCAACACCCACATCCACACTGCATTCTAAAATAACCCATACAGGTATTCCCCATTGGGTGTGATCCAAGCTTGCTGGTTGACCTACATTACCAGCTGTACATAGTCATTAACACCGTAAGGTTTTTCTTCTGGACCATCCTCCATAAAATCGGGTGGCCTGACAAATTTGTGAACGTCCTCCGGCTCCTCCATGTGGACCTGATGGCAACAGTCTTGGACAGCAATGGCTCCCAAAGTGACCCATTTAAAGTGGAGAGCAGTACGTGTGAAAAAGATCTTGGAGTCCTTTTGGGGAGAGAGGGTGGCCTATAAATAAAGTTTCACAACAAATACGAACAGCAAAAATTCAGTGCTACAGTATAAAAACAGTTAACAACCTAACACATTACATAATGAATAAACAGTTACTACAATACCCATTCACTGTCGTCTCGTCATCAAAAACATGTTCCAGATTCGTCATCCATTGTTCCATTCCAGTGTTCATTAACCAATCATTGCACTAATTATTCGAAAGCCTGCTCAAACAGCCAGGTCTTCACTTTTTTGCGGAATACCATTAGAGATGGTGCTAGTCTAATGTCCATAGGAAGGGCGTTCCACAGCCGAGGAGCCACCACCGAGAAGGCCCTATCTCTCGTCCCCGCCAGCCGAGCTTGAGACGCAGGCGGGATCGAGAGGAGGGTCTCCCCGGAAGATCTCAAACTCCTGGTGGGTTCAAAGGCAGAGATACGGTCGAGTAGGTAGCTTGGGCTGGAACCGTTTAGGGCTTTAAAGGCCAACGCCAGCACTTTGAATTCAGCCCGGTAGCAGATCGGTAGCCAGTGGAGTTGGCGCAACAGGGGGGTTGTATGCTCCCTGCGCTCCGCTCCTGTTAAAATCATGGCTGCCGAGCGTTGGACTAGTTGGAGCTTCCGAGCTGTCTTCAAAGGCAACCCCACGTAGAGAGCGTTGCAGTAGTCTAAACGGGATGTAACCAGAGCGTGGACTACCGTGGCCAAGTCATACTTCCCAAGGTACGGGCGCAGCTGGCGCACAAGCTTTAGCTGTGCAAATGCTCCCCTGGTCACCGCCGAAACCTGGCTCAGCGATGAGTCCAAGATCACACCCAAGCTGCGAACCTGCGTCTTCAAGGGGAGTGCGGACCCATCCAACACTGTTGGTCATGGGAGTCCTGTGTGCCACGTTTGGATCACTGTCATTTTTGGTGGAGTTCAGAATGCTCTTTGATTGTAGCTGAACTATAAATCCCAGTAACTACAACTTCTCTTCTTTCTCTTCTTCATTCTCTATTCCTCCCCTACTTCTCTTCCTGCTCCTCCTCTTCTTCTCTTCCTTCCTCTCCTCTTTCTCCTCTTCTCCTCCTCTTCTCCTCTTTATCCCCTTTTCCTCTTCTTCCTCTTCTGTCTCCACTTCATCCTCCTTTTCCCCCTCCTCCTTCCCCCTCTTCTTCTCTTCCTCCTCTTCCTCTTCCTGCTCCTCCTCCTCTTTCTTCTTCTCCTCTTTTCCTCTTCTCCTCTCCCTCTTCTCTTGCTCTTTCGCCTCTTCTTCATTCTCCTCTTCCACTTCTCCCCTCCTCCTCCTCCTCCTCTTCTTTTTCCTCTTCATCCTCTACTCCTCTCTTCCTCTTCTTCCTTCTTGTTTTCACCCTCTCCTTCTTCCTCCTCTTCATTTTCCTCTTCTTCCTCTTTATTCTCCACTTCATTGTCTTTCTCCTTTTCTTCTTATCCTCTTCCTTCTCCTCTTCTTCTTCATCCTTTACTCCTCTCTTCTTCTTTGCCTCTTCCTCTTGCTCCTCTCCTCCTTTCCGTCTTCCTCTTCTCCTTCTCTTCCTTTCCTTCTGAGGCCCTTTGGGGAGAGAGGGCAGCCTATAAATAAAGTTTTATTATATTATCATTATTCTCTCCTCCTCCTCCTCCTCTTCCTATTTCTCCTCCTCTTCTTCATCCACTTCTCCTCCCTTCCTCCTCTTCTTATTCATTTCTTCCTCTTCTTCTTTTCCTCTTCCTCCTACCTTTCTGAGCATCGTGCCTGCCTTACATGTTCTCCCCAGTTTTCAGACCCGATTCCCTTTCTGCTTCCGTGCAGGGCCCCTCGGTGTTGGAGGGGAGCCCCTTATCCGTGAAGGAGCGGCGCCTCCACCTGGGGGTCCACACCGGCCTCTGCTTCGCTCAGCCCCCACAGGTTGCCGTCCTCGTTCCAGAGGCGGAGGTGGCTCGCGGGCGCGCTGGAAGCTTCCACAGGAGACCGGGACCCTCTGGGAAGACCAGGTGAGGCAGGAGGACGAAAGGAAGACGGGGAGGCTTTTCTCCATTTCGAGGGGATCCCTACCTGAGTCCGTTGAGATTTTGAGATTGACAATCCTTTAAAAATGGCCTCGGATATAAAAGGTCCTGGATGCCATTGATCCTTTTATGTCGGCGGGAAATTGAAGCCATTCCAGGCTGTAGACGAGCTTACAAAGGTCCTGAAACTACGCAAACCCATGTAATGGGACTTTGTGAAAAGGCTGAACCCATTTGAAGGAGCTCTCCGAGGTGCTGAACCACTACTGCGCCATTGCCAGCCACAGCTTGCAGCAAATATTTTTTGGTGAATATTTTTGAGAATATTTTGTGGGTATTTTTTGGTGAATATTTTCCTAACTATTTCACACAAAAAAAATTCAGAAAAATATTCACAAAAATATTTGCAAAATAAATTTACGAAAATATTCTCAAAATATATTCACAAAAATATTTGCAAAATATATTTACAAAAAATATTCACAAAATAGATTTACAATATATATTCACAAAAATATTTGCAAAATATATTTAGGAAAAATATTCACAAAATATATTTAAAAATATATTTACTAAAAATATTTGCAAAGTATATTTACGAAAAATATTCACAAAAATACTTTCAAAATATATTTACAAAATATATTCAGAAAAATATTTGCAAAATATATTTACGAAAAATATTCACGAAAATATTTGCAAAATATATTTATGAAAAATATTCACAAAATATATTTACAAAATATATTTACTAAAATATTCGCAAAATATATTTACAAAAATATTTGCAAAATATATTCACAAACATATTTACAAAATATATTTATGAAATATATTCACAAAATATATTTACAAAATATATTCACAAAAATATTTGCAAAATATATTTATGAAAAATATTCACAAAATATATTTACAAAATATATTTATCAAATATATTCACAAAATATATTTACAAAAATATTTGCAAGGTATATTCACAAAAATATTTGCAAAATATATTTACAAAAAATATTCACAAAATATATTTACAAAATATATTCACAAAATATATTCACAAAATATATTTATGAAAAATATTCACAAAATATATTTACAAAATATATTCACAAAAATATTTGCAAAATATATTTACAAAAAATATTCACAAAATATATTTACAAAATATATTCACAAAATATATTTATGAAAAATATTCACAAAATATATTTACAAAATATATTCACAAAAATATTTGCAAAATATATTTATGAAAAATATTCACAAAATATATTTACAAAATATATTCAAAATATATTTGCAAAATATATTTACAAAAATATTTGCAAAATATATTCACAAAAATATTTGCAAAATATATTTACAAAAATATTCACAAAATATATTTACAAAATATATTCACAAAATATATTTACGAAAAATATTCACAAAATATATTTACAAAATATATTTGCAAAATATATTTACGAAAAATAGTCACAAAATATATTTGCAAAATATATTTACAAAAAATATTCTAGAAATATATTTACAAAATATATTCACAAATAATATTTATGGGAAATATTCAGAAAAATAGTCACCTAAAATATTCACAAAATATATTCACAAATATATACACAAAATAGATTCACAATAATATTCACAGAAAAGATTCACAAAAATACTCACCAAACAATCAGGGGCATCTAATCACCTCTCAACAAAAGATTGTTCCAGGCACTTCCAGGCTATCAAATGCTAATCAAGGTTGTCAGTTGAAACATTCACACCTAGCTCCAGCAGACAAGAGTCCTTTGTCCCACCCTAGTCTTTCCACAGATATATAAACCCATTTTCCTAGTTCCAACAGACCTCACTACCTCTGAGGATGCTTGCCATAGATGCAGGCGAAACGTCAGGAGAGAATGCCTCTAAAACATGGCCATATAGCCCGAAAAAACCTACAACAGCCCAGTGATTCCGGCCATGAAAGCCTTCGACAATATACTCACAAAATATATTTTAATATATATTCTCAAAAATATTTGCAAAATATATTTACAAAAATATTCAGAAAAGAATTCACACAATAGATTCAGAAAAAATATTCACCGAAAATATTCACAAAATAGATTCACAAAAATATTCACAAGATATATTATAAAATATATTCTCAAAAATATTTGCAAAATATATTTACTAAAAATATTCAGAAAAATATTCATGCAAAGTATTCACAAAGTAGATTCACGAAAATGTTCAGAATAATATTCCTGAAAAATATTCAGAAAAATATTGACCAAAGATGTTCACATAATATATTCACAAATAGATATACCAAAAATAATTCAAAAAATAGATTCACAACAATATTGACAAAAATATTCAAAAAATAGTCAGTTGAGATTTTGAGATTGACAATCCTTTAAAAATGGCTTCTAATATAAAAGTTCCTGGATGTTCTCCGCCAGAAGTTACAGCAAATACTTTTTGTGAATATTTTTGAGACTATTTTATGGGTATTTTTGTATTTTTCTGACTATTTCATTAAAAAAATCAGAAAAATATTCACAAAATATATTCACAAAAATATTTGCAAAATATATTTACAAAAAATATTCATAAAAGTATTCATGAAAAGTATTCACAAAATACATTCAAGAACATATTCAGAATAATATTCATGAAAAAAAATCAGAAAAATATTCACTGAAAATATTCACAGAATATTCACAAAAATTGTGTTACATAGGACAGAAATAATAATAACAATAATAATAAATCACACAGTCCTAAACGCTTGGGAAGTGTTCAACTTGTGATTTTGTGATACGAAATCCAGCATATATACCTCGTTTGCTGTGACGTGCTGTATTTTTATGGAAGTAAAATAAGAATAGTAATAGTATAATTTTAGAATCCTAGAGGCCATCCAGTCCAACCCCATTGTTCTGCCAGGCAAGGAAAGCACAATCAAACCTCCCCCACCCCCCAACAGATGGCCATCCGGCCTCTTCTTAAAAGCCTCCCAAGAAGGAGCCACCTCCAGACTCCAAGGCAGAGAGTTCCACTGATAAACAGCTCTCTCTCTCACAGCCACGAAGTTTTTCCTCGTGTTCAGGTGGAATCTCCTTCCTTCCCTTTAGTTTGAAGCTATTGTTGGCTATTTAATCATGTAGTTGGGCAGGGACGGTGCGCTGAGTGCGTCTCATTGGTTCCCCCTTGGCCTTCCATGCGCAGTTCGGAGGGGCAAGCGCTGGTCCTGAGGAGCCGCATCCACCTGACTGAGATGGTCCGCCACCCGGCCTTTGCAGTGGTCTTCCTGCTGGAGTACGTCTTCTCTGCAGCAAGTGGATCCGACCTGAAGGTAGGAATTGCGCCAGCCCTGGTTCGTGTTTGGGTGGGAGACCGACAAGGAATACTCATTTGGTGCTATAGGCTTGAATAAATGCGACAGAGAAGGCATGGGCAAACTTCGGCCCTCCCATGCCTACGATAGAACCACTTGGAGTGTCAAAATGAAGACGAGATGATGATGATGTTTATTTATCCCTGCTTTTTCCCTCCACAAGGAGACTCAAAGAGACTATTATTATTATTATTATTATTATTATTATTATTATTATTACTGTTATTATTATGTTTATTTCTATCCTGCTTTTCCTCTCCACAAGGAGACTCAAAAGAGACATTATTATTATTGTAACTCTCTCGAAAAAAGAGATCAGATGAGTCTGGCATGACTTGTTTTTGATAAATCCATGTTGACTCTTGGCGATGACCGCATTTGTTTCTAAGTGTTTGCAGACCACTTCCTTAACAATCTTTTCCAGAATCTTGCCCGGTATTGACGTGAGGCTGACCGGACATTGGTCATTGTTTGGGTCATCCTTTTTTCCCTTCTTGAAGGGGAGTGGATTGTCATCAGTTTTCTTGTTTTTCTGTCCAGATCATCTAGCTCTGCTTGTGTCCAGTTCACAATCCCAGCTGTGTATCTAATGACGGGGATGGCCCAGGGGTTGAGAGCCTTGATCGTATTTCCGTCATTTAATTTGCTCTTCAAAACCTTTCTGACTCTTTGGATATATTCTTTGCTGACCACATTTTTCACATCTCCGTTCAACTGTAGGATGCCCAGATATTTATAGGCTTCAGGCTGATTGCACTTCATGGTTTCTTCGTTTGGCATCTCTGTGTCCCCGCTGTGTGTAATTTTCCCTTTCTTTGATATTGTCCAGCTGTAGTATGCCCAGATATTTGTTGTTGTTGTTGTTGTTGTTGTTGTTTTTGTTGTTGTTGTTGTTGTGTTTATTTCTCCCCTGCTTTTTCTCTCCCCAAGTGTGGTCCTCTTGTGTGGTCTGCTACTGAAGGGAAATGTCATCGTAGAGCAATAGGAAAACTCCAAATCTGGAATTTTGCCTTCCAGAGAACAGCTGGAGAAGATTTATGACGTGTCGCACGGGCCTGCGTGCACTACAAAAACGTGTTCCCATTGATTTTTAAGTCCATTTAAAATTATTTAAGGCTAGGGAAGCAGAGGTGAAACTCGCTGCTTCCTTTGACCCGGTGCCAGGTGGTTCTGCCGGAGTTCATAAATCCACCGTACGTGGTATGATTGTCTTCACGGAGTTCTGGAGCAGTCCACCGAGCAGCCAGGGAACTGAATGGCGGTTTGGAGATGCTATTGGTTAGCACGGTGGTAGAAAGTCAAAGCGGTTTTCCATTCAATGGTTGTTTCCTTAAAAGTCTTAAATCATACAATCTCTGCTGGGCCAACACAACTGCAGCCTGAATGGGGCAAGTCGTCATGAACAATGTAGCACCTGCGAACATACAAGTGTTCCCTCACTTAATGCATGGTTACGTTCCTGGACCACCCGTGATAAGTGAAAATCCATGATGTAGGGCCCGGACTTCCCTACAACGGTGCCCAAGTGGCCTCCGAGGAAGAGGAGGAGGAGGAAGAGGTGGAGGAGGAAGAGGTGGAGGAGGAAGAGGTGGAGGAGGAAGAGGTGGAGGAGGAAGAGGTGGAGGAGGAAGAGGTGGAGGTGCTGCGTGTCGCCACCTGCTGCAAGTGCTCGGGGGCGTTCTTCTTTCCTTCACTCTTCTCCTCCTCCGCCTCTTCCTCAGAAGACCTTTGGGAAGCCAAGGCTGGATTAGAAAAAGAGCAAAGGAGAAGGAAAAGACGAGTGGCCCGGCCCGAGCACTTGCAGCAAGCAGTGGCAGCGCAGCAGCAGCAACTCCCTCCTCCTTCGCCTCTTCCTCGGAGGCCCCTTGAGCAACGTTAATGCCAGTGCCAATGGCCTGGGCAGCAACTCCCTACCTCCTCCTTCCTCTTCCTCCTCCTCTTCCTCGGAGGCCCCATTGGCACTGGCATTAATGTTGCTCAAAGGGCTCAAGGCCTCTCGAAGAGGAAGAAGGAGGGAGGAAGTTGCTGCCTAGGTCAGATGAGAAGAGCAAAGGAGAAGGAGAAGAAGAGCGCTCCTGAGCACTTGCAGCAGGTGGTGGCAGCGCACCAGCAGCAACTCCCTCCTCCTCCTCCTCTTCCTTGGGGACCCTTTGAGCAACATTAATGCCAGTGCCAATGGGGCCTCCGAGGAAGAGGAGGAGTAAGAGGAAGAAGGAGGGAGGGAGTTGCTGCCCAGGCCAGGTGAGGAGAGTGAAGGGGAAGAAGAGCACCCCCGAGCACTTGCAGCAGTCGGTGGCAGCGCACCAGCAGCAACTCCCTCCTCCTCCTCTTCCTCGGGGACCCTTTGAGCAACGTCAATGCCAGTGCCAATGGGCCTCCGAGGAAGACGAGGAGAAAGAGGAAGAAGAATGGAGGGAGTTGCTGCCTAGGCCAGATGAGAAGAGCGAAGGAGAAGGAGAAGGAGAAGAGCGTCCCCGAGCACTTGCAGCAGGCAGTGGCAGCGTAGCAGCAGCAACTCTCTCTTCCTCCTTCTCTTCCTCCTCCTCTTCCTCGAAGACCCCATTGCCACTGGCATTAACGTTGCTGTAGGGGCCAATGGGGCCTTCAGGAAGAGGATGAGGAAGAAAGAGGAGAGAGTTGCTGCCCAGGCCAGATGAGAAGAGCAAAGGAGAAGGAGAGTGCCCCCGAGCACTTGCGGCAGGTGGTGGCAGCACAGCCTCAGCAACTCCCGCCTCCTCTTCCTCCTCCTCTTCCTCCTCCTCTTCCTCAGAGGCCCCTTGAGCAACGTTAATGCCAGTGCCAGTGGGGCTTCTGAGGAAGAGGAGGAGGAAGAGGAGGAAGGAGGGAGGGAATTGCTGCCCAGGCCAGATGAGAAGAGCAAAGGAGGAGGAGAAGAAGAGTGTCCCCGAACACTTGCAGCAGGTGGTGGCCGCACACCAGCAGCAACTCCCTAGTCCTCCACCGCTTCCTCCTCCTCTTCCTCGGAGTCTCCTTGAGCAATGTTAATGGCAGTGCCAATGGGGCCTCTGAAGAAGAGGAGGAGGAAGAGGGAGAAGGAGGAAGGAGTTGCTGCCCAGGCCAAATGAGAAGAGCGAAGGAGAAGGAGAGTGACCTCCGAGCACTTGCAGCAGGCGGAGGTGGAGGAGGAGAGAGTTGGTGCTGGTGCGCTGCCACCACCTGGTGCAAGTGCTCTAGGGCACTCTTCTTCTCCTTCTCCTTCACTCTTCTTTTAATCCGGCATAGGCTCACCCTTATCATCCACCCCTTCCTCCTTCCAGCCCGAAGAGAGCAAGGCCCTGATACCTTCGCGGGCTCCGGGGAGAAAAACCCGCGAAAGAGCAAGTCCACAATCAGCGAACCGCGAACTAGCGGGGGAACACTGTAGATAGTAACTGGTGTTCCCTGTCCTCGTTCCCTCTTATACAACTGAGTTTTTTTTAAATGACGTTGAAATTCTTAATTAAAACATAAAGTTAGCCTCCCCTAAGACGTCATCAAGGAAGAGCGGGCCTTTGGGAAAGTCGAGGAGTGTGGCGAGGTGGTTTTGGCCATCCGGCCACCCGCCTCCCCTTCCGTCTCTCCTTCTCTCCAGCTGCTGACCCATTTTTCTTTCAAATAGCTCTTTGGGCCGAGACCTTCCTTTGGCTCCCTGCCCTTCCTTCGCATTGGAAAATAGTCGAGAAGTCAGCTGATATAATTGAGCACTAAATTGGGCCTTAGCGAGCAGATTGGATTTGCCACCTCAGCTTGGCCGGCTCCTCATTTCTCCTCTCCTTTTTGCTTTGGAGAGCTGGTCCTTCACCGCGGACGCCGCGCTGCTCGGCCGACGCGCCTTGTCAGTCGATGCATCACCCCAACGCTTGATTTCCCCCGAGGCTTTGGAAATGTCCTGAGATGTCATACCCTGCTCGCTTGACGGCTTCCCCGTGCTGGCGACGGAACGAGAAGCCTTGTTCTGACAAATATGTTGCCGGGAAATATAACAAATGAACTGGCCGCGGGTCTCCAGGGGACGAGGAAGCAAGGATATTGTGTGCGCTCACCCCACCTCTTGTATCACTGTTGTAGCTCAGCCAGCTGAGGGTGATGTGGAGGGGTCTTTGGGTTCAGGGTCTGCAGGCCCTGTTTTGAAACCTCCAGAGAGGTTTAATCCCTTCAGAGGTACAGTGGTGGTCAGAGGCGGCCTTAGGTAATTTTCAATGGTAAGCAAACAGTATTTTGGCCCCCCGCCAACCAATCATCTATATATAGAAGAACCTTAAGGTCGTAATTAGGCGGTCAAAAATGGCTAAACCACTGGACGAAATCTCACCACATTTGCCCTGCTAATACCTCTTCCCCCAAGGGATGACCAACAACCCTCAAAACACCAATACGCAACAACACAAACGCACAATACCCAAAAAACACGGAGCATGCGCAGAGGCCTCGGGAGGAAAACGATGAGGAAGGACTCGGTTTCCCAGCTTCCCCCGCGCCCAAATCTCCCTCCGCATGCGCACTGCCGCAGGAGGAATACGATGAGGAAGGACTCCATTTCCCAGCTTCCCCCGCACCCAAATCTCCTTCCGCATGCGCACTGCCGCGGGAGGAATACGATGAGGAAGGACTCAATTTCCCAGCTTCCCCCACGCCCAAATCTCCTTCCGCATGCGCACTGCCGCGGGAGGAATACGATGAGGAAGGACTCCGTTTCCCAGCTTCCCCCGCGCCCAAATCTCCCTCCGCATGCGCAGTGCCCAAGGGAGGAAGTACACACACAATTCACTCTGGGAACTGTAGTTCTAGAACGCGGCCTGCTCGCTGGGGGCCAGGATGCTGCGCGAACGGAGAAAGGAAGGAAGGAAGGGAAGTTGAGAAGGTATATGAAAGAAGAAAGGTAGGAAAGAAAGAATACAGAGAGAGAAGGAGGATGGGAAAGAAGGGAGAAAGGAAGGAAGAGGAAAGAAAGATAGAAA